TAATAGATATACTGATTAGCTGATTAGAAAGTGATAACTGGACTGATGGTTCGTACAACAGGAGGTTGTATATATTCGAGTGTGTTTGTGGGTGGGTGGTAGTCAATTATTTAGATTTCTGTGAAGAGTGGTTGAATTTGGAGTGAAAAATATTCTTGAAGTCTACATCGAAGCAAGAGTTGTAGTGATTGTGCCTGCGATATATATATATATATATATATATATATATATATATATGACTGGATAAAATTAGAAGTGAAGTAACAATATTTCTTTCCAACTATTTATGTATTGCAGTGAGCTCAAAAGATAATTGGGTTAAATCAAAGTCTGTTTGGTTGAATGGCAACGTTGTTTACTGACTAGAAATTGGCGAAGGTATGGTTTTAGAGAATTTGTTTATAATGTTGGCTGTTCTGGGTTAGAGAAACGCATCGTTTCATCTGCGATTGGAATGAATACAAATTCATATATTAATAAACACTCAATAGACCTTAAACATCTTTTTTTTCTATCTTTTTGTAACAAAGTAGCCCAGCCGATAAAAGTTGTGCGATAGATTTACTTCCAAGTGGTATACCCTGAGCAATGTAGCTATAACCAGAAGTGCCAGAGTAGTGGACATATAGGGATGGAGTCCTTCAAGACAACAATTGGAGTTAATCCTCCCACAAATCCATCCTTCAGAAAAGATGGAGACCAGTTGGAGGACAAAAGCAGAATAGACGACCAGGGCTTCTCCATAATACGGCACCATTTTCCAACCCAAATTAACGTGTTTCAGTTCAAATAACATGACCTTTGTGCCATAGTGGAGAATATTGTCTGACAAGCCAATCCGATTGTTCAACAGAGTTGGGGCCAATGACAAACCTACTGGGATATAATATGACACAAGGGGCACTCAAACCTTATAATTACGTCTCCTAATAACTTCAAAATGACAAGTATTTCTAAATACGATATGTCCTAGCCCCTCGAACGCATGCAAAGATGACTCATGACCCATGCTTAGACATTAGCGCTGAAATTTAAAATTATCAATTGTTTGGTAAAAAACAGTCATCATTGAGCTATAGTTTCA